CCTATTAAGTGAAAGGAAAACAAAAACTCTTCAATATTTCCTCTCGTCACCCTTACTTGCGATCAACTCTCACTTTTTTTGGGGGGGGGTAGGGGGGAAGGGGGGGGAACTTAAAAATATAGTGACGCATGAGTCATCGATGCGCTGCCTCACTTTCATTGTCTCCCTGATCGCGGGGCTACATGTTGCATTTGGTGAATACGATTGTTTCATTCTCTAATAGTAAGTCACGTAGAACGCCATAAGAGCCGAAAATTGCACAAACTCGCTACGTATATAGATGTTCTGTCATTGACAGTTATTGCGTAATCCGCCGATTTCTTTTCAAACTGTGCTAAGCCTTACCGCGGTTAAATTAATCGTTGGAAATTTTTAAGGCCTTTTTTTTTTCATTTTAATAAAAAAGTGATTCTCAGAGGTTTTTTTCTCTTACCCCAACTGATAAAGAATAAAACCTGATGTGGGACCAGGGAGCCCGACGGTATGAGGGCGGACTAGGTTCGGGGGTACGGGGTACGGGGTAATGAGTTCGGGGAAGGAACTGAAAAGGAGAGAAGGAAAAGAGGAATAAAAAGGTGGGAACTTTCTTTGTGGACTAATCTTTAATTTTTTGCAATAAAGACAGGAGATGGGACTAAAAAGAATTCGAGGCGTTGCTCATCTCCCCTTACTTACACCACTCCAAGAGACGTTGTCTTCATGATATGCCATTCAATATCCTGTGGTGTTTTTTTGTTTGTTCGTTTTGTTTTTTGTTAGATCAGGGTCTCTACTGTATCACCGATCTTTATTGTAACTGCATTAAAAATACCAATTTCCCTCTTTTCTGTTTTTTAAGGAGTCCAGCAAAGGAGCTGTCGTGACAGAATATTGTACACAATGCAGTCGTACTTGCGGAGGATCGTTCAATGAATTTTTGGAAAGAAGAGCTTTAACCACAAGAAGTTAACCACCTCTTTCAGGATAGGAAGTTAACCACCCTCTTTCAGGATAGGAATCATTTATAATAATAATTCATGCCAGGAGCCATGGGCTCCTGTTTATGCTTACATCAACTGATGTTATAATAAATTATAATAATAATAATAATTATAATAATGAAAAATCTTACGTTGTGTTGGACCATTTATTGATATCGGAACCACAATAAAGAATCTTTGTCCGGGCTTAACCCTTTAATCCCTAACAGTGACAAGGTTCTTATTTCTCCTTACAATTTATCCCTTGAATCAAATGTTGAAGTCACGAGAATAACGCAAATGATCAGCAACTAACAAAGCTCTTGATAGTTTCACAAATTCTCCTTGTAAGAACCTGGGAAATGTATAAAGAACAGTATGGAGAGTGTGCATAATGATCTTGGGATGTAAAAGTTAAATAGCCTGTCTAGTTAAGGTTCCTACAGAACAGCCTTACGTTGATCATGTTGTCTGCTGCCTTGCGCAAAAACCAATTCAACTTTCAGGCCTAAAAATCATACTTTTTGCTGCACAAAAGCAACTATTTGTAAACAAAGAGCGCAGGCGACGGCTTAGAAACGCGATGTAATCAACAATCTCATTATTTTGCCGAGATCTGAAATATCTTATCTATCATCCCTCTTTCCTGTGCCAAATATGGCACCAGATTGATCAAAACTTGTTTCTACCTGGAGTTTCGTTTCTGCCTATAACTGCCCCACTGAAATTATTTCCAGCTATTTAGACAAGATCATGGCACCTATCGTCTGCTTTCTGAACTATCTAGATATCTAGCGACTGGTTTCGATGAGTCTTTGTTGATTCCTTCCTACTTCATGTAGGCGTTCTCGGACGTCACTAGCCTAAGCGTCTCCTGATTCACCGATGTAGATTTTTTTACAATAAGTACAAATTATGCAATGGATGACATTGGCGGAGGTACCGGTGAAACTGTTAGCAACCTTAAGCGATCACTTTGGTTCCGATATTAGTCTCTCGACGTTATGGATGAAAGGAAATAAATATTCTCCAGTTCCTGCCTCGTTCAATGATTGACATTTAAATATCGTGATTTCTTAATCACTGAACATTGCTAATTTTATAGCGTCACCTATGCGATAATCCTGGTCTTGCAACAAGGGTAACAAACATTGGACCTCTAGTTCTCGTTCCCTTTGAGAAAGTTTATTGCCCAGAAGTTATGTTTTTATTCCACTGATTCAGATCAGACCTTTATGGGAAAAACCACTCGTCTAACATGCAGACTACATTATATCTTTTATAGACACCTTAATCTTATTACAGTAAACGCTTTAAACCCGGGGTAACATGTGATATAGTGTAGTCTGATCGCTCAGGTGAGTGTGTGTGACGGTGTGTTAGGACATTAATATACCAAAGGTTCCAAACCTCGATATTTTATTACAATAAATAACGGATGAAGGTTATGACAAAAACCATGGATATGGATCGGAGATTCGAAATCTGTAAAGTAATGCGTTAACAAATTAGTTTCAGTTCATATCGATAATATCAAAAGAAATCAAGGTGAATATTTACCCATTGGTTCTAGGTGTCCATAACACTGTCTAGCGATAGAAAATCTTAACAATTATATCTGTTACGTCATCAAATTATAATGCGCAAAGAAATTAGAATTTTGCGCAATACAGTGTGGTCCTGAGAAGAACTGTTGTTGGCAGAAGTGACTGACGTTTCGACTATCACTTAATCGTATAAGCGGTTTGAATTCGTCAATAACGATATGTCTAAGTAACAGTAACTTCAGTACTGCAAAACTCGGATAGAAAATTCTAACAGGGTAATTTAGTATTATCAACCGCGTTGATAAAGTAAATTGGCCATCGTAGAGAGTTTAAAAGCTGTACGGTTTAAGCTCTTTACGATGGCTAATTTAATTTATCAACTAAGTTGATAAGACTAATTACCCTGTTACACTCCCACCCATTAGGAAATTCTAATATCGACAATATTAATCCTGTTAGCTTACCGGTCGAGAAATAATGTAAACAAGATTTCATCAGGAATTCTTGATGTGAAAAAATACCTCCTTACAATGACTTTCCAAGCTTTGGCATAAGCCAGTCTTCTCCCGTAGAAAAATTATTAAACCTTGAGCTACGCGAAAAGGCGAGAGGTTTACAAAGGCTCTAGTCCTGAAAGAACATACCAGACTCCCAGCAAACCTCTCACCTATTCGTCTGAAATCTTCCCGCGGGTGGAGAAACGCGCGTCCTTCAGCACTAATAATAAGGGTCTTTTTAACAGGCCGCCAAAAAGTACCAACCAAACCATGAATTCTTCATTTCCTTAGGATCATAGAGTCCAACAGGTAAATTACTTTCTTTAACGATTCATTGCTGTGCCGTACACTCGCATTCAACAAATTGACATCTGTAAATGTCTGCTCGGTGCAAATATTTTTGTCATGCCAATACTATTTCTATATTGCATTGTTAATCAATTAATTTAGATATATATTCTATTTTTCATAATATTTCCTTCTTTTTTTTTTTTTTTAGTTATTCCTCATATCCCAGACATGACTATCACCTACATGTTTCATACAATCGAAAAAAGTAACCTTGTAAACAGGAGGGAGTTATCTTGATTCAATACCAATTAAGTTCTCTCAACTTAATTACGATGTCATGCCTAGAAGTTCAAAGGAATTACTGGTCAGACTATGACCAGCGATGGACATAAATTACGCCCAAGGCCCAACACAGAATATTGGAATAATGTCTTCGATTTTCCTTACCATCTCTTTTTTTTTCCTCGCGGGCGCGTTTTTTCTGAAGGCGAAGAATCTAGAATCCGTCTAATCGAATAAAAAGTCACTGACATGTGAGGATGCATGATGACCCATAAACAGAGGACGCCATTGTAACCTACTTGTCTGACAACCACATGTTTTCTTATGGTCTTCTCTGTGCTTGTCGCTTGCGAAAAATACTTTAAGGCTAAGATTACCACCACTTGACGAATAGTTCGCTCACTTTTTTTTCCAATAGTTCGGGCAATATCTACCAGTCCTCGCATGCGAATAAATTTACATACGTCTTTGTTTGTTACCCAAGAGGCTGACGTTTTTTGAACCCGCGAGGTGTGCGTTTAATTGATAGAAGGCGGTAGTTCGCTGGCACATAACTTGATTAAATGCATATCCGTGAAACAAATTTTCGTATGGCTAGTTATGTGATATATCATCACCTTCGCAACCTGCAAACAGCAACCTGCCCCTTCGAATCCAACACTTGCTGAGTGTTAACGCAAAATTCGCTTTTTTAACAGGAAATTTACCGGATATACACAACATGACCTTAATGTTGTCAAATCAACACCAGAAGTCGGTTCCAGTGTATGCATTACAATGCCAAAAACTCTAGAGAAAGGACCAGATGGATAAACTTAAGCATTTTCACTTTCTAATGCAGGCCTTCTACTGCAGTCGATCATAACGATGTCACTTTGTTTAAAAGGAGATCGAAAATTTTATCGGTTAATTCTACGCTCTTAAGGAGTGACTGACTCATCTTTTACTCGGGGAAAACAACCGGAAATGAAGAGACCGCCAAATGGAATCGAGCAAACAGAAGGAGCCAAGTGATTAAATTTCTCACTATTTTTGCGGCACGTTTCGCAATATTACTCTGACCTTTCGTATGCACCAGTCGTTTGTAACTCTATTGAAGTGAACTAAGTTACAAAACAGGAACTCGGCTACTTTACTAGTCTTCTCCTCCCGCCTAATCCCAGATTATCACACTTTTTGGCGACAAGAGCATCGCTATTTCGCGACAACTGATTTTTCCGTTGAGCCTTTCAATAAACTTGAGGACTACATCTAAGCTGGCGTCAATGGACTAATGAGTGTTGGTTTGTTTGTATCCTGTCAACTTGATTGTGTGCAAACAATGCCCCTCCCCAGTTACATTCATCACCACATAAATCGATCCAGTGTCCATTTACACAATTGCCTCGCGCGCTTTTCGGATGTTCGACGCGCTCCTAGTTTGACCTCAGAGTAGAAGCGAATCGTACAATTCGTTGCCATGCTTTCAGTCGGCCTCCTTTTGCATATTCTCGCTTGCGCGAGCAGTTTACCTCTCAAGGATTTCTTCCCTTTTGGCGAAGGAACCGGGGATGTTCAGATTCCAGACAAAAAGCATGTGTTAGGTGATGTGTTTAACCTACACTCTACCTACTCGTTTTACAACCACGACTACAACGATCTACAGGTAAGTCAAATCAGACACGATTTACTGGGACTTATTTTGGTAATTTGCTGAGTATCTTACGATTTATGCCAACTTCCAAGATATTTCATGTTGTGGAATCCTGCGCCAGGTATTTCAGCAACACCCTCTTAATGTATTTTGCGGACCTTTCTAAATCGCCCCCTTGTAAATCATTTGCATATCTCAGGACGGCTAAACCCGATGCCAATAGTTTCATAGCGTATGTTTTAATTCTTCTAAGGGGCGAGAAAGCTGGTTACAGCTCTAATAAATCTGATAATAGGGGAATACTGTAATTCGCTTTGCGCTAATGATTCGTAAAGAGCTGTTTTGTGTTAAAGATAGCTCATTGCCTTTGACAAGCCGTCAATTATTTCGAGAGGAAATCAAACATGATGGTTGATCCTATCGCAAGACCTTTTGGCAAATTCCATAGGGCCATTTGTTTTCCTGCAAGAAAAAAAAAAGAAAGAGAGAAAAATTTGGATAAGTGTACCAAGTTAAGTATTTCACGAGGATTCTTGGAGATTTTTAACACTTTGTTTGAAACGTTAATCAGGCTACCTGGAAACAATTTCGAAACTACTTAGCGGTTTATTCATAGTTGAATTAACTTTGTCAAAATTTAATCATTTACGGTGATTCAATTGCATTCCGACAACCAGACGTTTACACGTTGATGGAACATGAAGACATCTTTGTGTAAATTCCACAATGGCGAAGATTTGACAATCGCGGACCGTGTTATCAGAAAAGTAAACTGTTTATCTGTTCGAATCGCGGGAGGCCTTTCCTTTAAGACAAATAACCGAATAAAATGAGGTTTTCCTTTGCGATGTTCGTGGGTGGGCAGTTTTCGCAGAAAGAAATTCCCACGAATTTCCAATCACAGTGAGCTCATACTCAACGGGAGACCACAAAACTATTTATCATAGAGATTTTTAAAAATTATTTTTAAAGTGCCCATGACCTTTTGAAAATTGCAACGTGTGGTCGGCTTTAATGTTTTTATTTCTGATTCTCGTTAACGGTGATCGGTTGAAAGGAAAGATGATTATTATGCTAATTAAGCTGATCACATCAAGAGAATGACACAGTTTATTTTTAAGAGAGTAGAGTACATTAGCAAAATACGTATTTTCTCGCTTTTTCTCTCAGCTATAAAGACTATTGAAAGGCCCTCTGAGGTGAAAATAATGTTGCTTTATCCTTGCGAAATATGCAAACGATTTACAACCGGTCACGCACAGCACAAATGCTTATCTTGCTTCCTTTAAAAGTACTTGACTCTTAAATGCTTTACATTCAACAAAATTTATAAATTGTAGCATTGTTTCTCTTTCACAATCCACGCATCCTTTAGAACAAGCTGAGCGAGTTAAAAATGTTTTAGATGAATGTATTCAAATTAAAGCTAATTATTTCCTAATTCTAAGTAAGCCACTGAGTAGCTGTCAAAAGCTCAATCTAGTTAGCGCATCGTAATGGTATAAGCTACATATAATTACCTTTACCTCTCCCAGTTCTATTATTCTTTATTCTCTACCGCCAAAATTCGATTAAGGACTTCCACGTCTAGCTCTGACATCTTTCCTTTAGAGTAAGTAAAAGAATTTGGCAAGAAAACTGATTTTTCAGCTTTACCCTCGTGCGAGTAGGTACAATTTTCCACTCGTCCAAAAGTTCTTTCTACTGCCGTTTCCTCATCTGCAGACAAAAAGACTGAGAACTTGTAACATACCCTTAGGATAAGAGATGAATAAAATCAAATCCATCGGCCGATTGGAAAATCAACGAGCCCGGACTATCGGTCAGGACTTTCTTTGCGCGCCAAAGAACACCCTTAAATTTCTTTTCGCCGCTCATCTACTTGATAATGTTTAACTTGTGATAGGAGAAAACCCTGGCGCGTTGAATAAGTCACCTGTGGGAGTTAAGGGGTTTAAGATAACTCAGGTCACTGTGTATCCATTTCATCAGGTATACATCGATGGAGTTATCACCCTGGGAAAACACACTTTCCCCGAGGAACGACACAGGAGATACCCATTTCCGCCTTCTGCGCCATCCATTGCAGTGTTCTATGCACCTGTGGCTCTAGCAAAGTCCAGTGCAGTGTTTTTGAGAGAGACTAGGAATGAAACTATTTTAAAAAAGGCAACAGACCATGTGCGATCTACTTTTATCAAGGAGAAGGAATTCATAGCTAAAGGTGTCGTTATATCAACATGGAAGGATGTTGTACACCGTCACGCACATGGAAAACTTCCCAACCAGGTAAAAGCAGCTTTATGATAATTTGTTGATTCAAAAGCTAGGTCTACGAAGATTTGCCAGCAGTCTGTATTAAGGATTAGAGCGATTTGGTTAAAGAAAAAATAAGTCGGGCGCAAACTGAAAAAAAAATTCCTTTTAAGAAGCCAAACTAAGCCGTGTTTGCTTCTTTGTTTATTTTCTTAACCCTTCACACTCTAACATCCATCCTGATAGATTTATCTTCTCCTAACTCTTTTCCTTACATTTTCCTATGATACTGAGAAGGAGAATTTGTTTGACAATCAGGAACGTCTTGAATTGGTGATCATTTCCATTATTCTTATAACCTTTTTATTTAATTCAAGGATGGTGCCGCATGGAGAAATAAGATGCCGGTCACTCTTAAGGTTTCAGGGTTAACACTTGGTATTGTCCTCCAATTTTTCAGACGAACACTTTTCAAGTTGTTCTCATAACGGACGAGATAAATACGTTCAGTGTGTTTAACTACAAAGACGATGGCTTACAGTGGATTAAGGGCTATCATGTACGATACCAGGGCAAAAGATATTTTGATGCACAGGTTGGCTTCAGCGCGGGGGACCACCTGAGGTACAGACAAAACGCAAAAAATTATCAGTCATGGTTAACAGCTGGAAATTTGGATTTACTTCTAAACCATTGATGTAGCTTGAGATTGTATCTGAGTATTGAAATTATGGGAACCAAAGAAACTGAAGAAGCAACACCACGTTATACAGAAACCGAAAAAAAAACCAACCAATCGTTAATAACACTTTTGGAATCTTGAATCCAACAAATCGCTTTAAATTGCCCAATCAGTTTCCATGAAATGGCGTTAAACACTCCCCTGAAAACCAGTTTATCACTGGCCTTTGTCAGTACCGCTGCTGGAGATATTAGCTACAAAGCTACACTTTTGTCTATAAATTCTAGAAAAGCTTTTATCCAGGATGTATCATAAAGTTGTATGTATGTGTGTATGTAGGTAGGTAGGTAGGTAGGTAGGTAGGTATGTATGCATGCATGTATATATCCTTACGATCAGACTTTAAGATCATTTCTAAGTCCTGGGTTCAAACGATGGCTGTAATAGAAATTCGATCTGACTGTTGTTCGTAACTCTCAAGAGAAAGAGGAGGCCGAATCTTTTAAAAAATTGTTTCTGCCTTATTTTCTATACTTGTACATGTATCTTCTACTTATATTTGTTAGGACATACCTATTGCCCGGTTCAGGAACCAAAGAAGTCAAATTCTTGTCTGAAAAGTCCAATGTACAGCATACAGGACAATGGATATTCAAAATTGGTTGGAAAAACATGGGAACCTTGAATGTGGAATCAGGGGATAGTTACGTTCATAGAAACTCGGAAATATCGCGCTTTTTCATACCTGACCAGTGTAAGTATCAAGTACAGACATCTTAGATATGAGCAAATACCTTACCAGTTTTAACTGTAGCAGTACAGGAAATCGACTTTCAAATCTTAAAAACAGAGAAGGATCTCCTTCTTAATCTTAGCTGTGCTGTAAATTTTGTTCTTTGCTAAAAGAGATGCTTGATCTCTGAAGTATGTAAATCTCTTTTCTTTTCTTTTTCTTTTTAAGTGCTATTTTCTCTATTAACATTGCTGGATAACTTTGTAAATCCTTCCTACTTTCAGATTTCCAAGGATGTTACAAAATACATGGGTATCTTTCTTCCCGAAACGCGAGTCAAATATGGCGGGGAGTGGGTATTCGGTCATGCATGATTCTCTGCCACCAGAGAAACCAAAAGTATGCGGCGCTCCATAACGGCGACGAGTGTGCCTGCATGGGCGATAAAGAGTTTTTGGTGCTGCAGAAATTGCCAACCTCGTCTTGCAACGTACGATGTGTTTTCAATGAGGAGGATTTCTGTGGTGGAAAGAATGCGGTTTCGCTGTTTTACGCTGTTGGTAGTTCCATCTTGTCTGCTGATGAGAATTCTGAGGGAATAACAGGTGAACGCGCAATATGTCTATTATTTAACTGTTACATCATGCAATCGCTCGAAACGTCAGTCTTTTTACTCTTTACGGTGGCCAATTTACGTTTTCAACTCAGTTGCTAACACTAAATTACCTGCTATACTCTCCCACCGACGTAGCACCATATTTTCTTTAGAAACTCCCCCTTTTTAATCAAGTTACGTCAGTATATGTGTTTTTATTGCATTAGTTTGAAGCTGCTTAGTTATCTATTATAATAAGTCAGTTATGGATATATTTCGCGTTTGTTTCTTAAAGATATCGATGAATGCGAAGACGGTGTAGCCCGATGTCATCCAAATGCTACATGTACAAATATCGCGCCAGGTTTCTGTTGCCAGTGCAACGATGGGTATTTTGGAAATGGCGTTGACTGTGTGAGAGAAGGTAATATAACAGAAACAATGATCAAAACAATGAGAAAAATGTCTATAATTTTATTTTTCCTTCCGCACTTCGTTTTCCCCTACGCATCTGCTCTCCTATAAGACGAATACTAGATATAATATTTTACATACAGAACACTATGTAATGATTCGCTCTGACGAAGGGCCAACGCTCGAAAAGTCAGTTCTAGAAGCTCTTTCCAGTGGCCAACTTATAATATCAACTGAGCTGTTATAACCAAATTATCTTGGAATTCTTTCCCCCCTCCCCCCTCCCTCAAACCACCGACGCAACATCACAGTTTCTTCAGAAACGTACTCCCTTTGCCATATAATGTGTCTCGAATCCCTGCCCTCCTCCCCAACTGTCACTCAACGAATAAAAAGGAGAGAAATTCTCTACAGAGAGTCAAGAAAAAGCATCATTTTAACGAGTACTACCAGCGTAGAAAAGGTTCTGCGTGGAGCCACAGTAAAACAACAAACTGTCTGAAGCGTGGGAAAACGCGAGTGCTCATGTGGCGAGTGGTTGTAGTTTCCGAACTGATCGGTTGATTGGTACTTTTACTAGGAACAGAGCAAAGCAAAGTATACGCCTTCCTGGCATTGTTTCTGATACTCAATTGACCACCTCCTTACACTTGGGTTTATCTGGAAGTATTAAATATCAAAATGAAACTAATGAAAACAAATTATACTTACAAAGCCTACCATAAAACTAGAGAAGAGACTAACCTTCAAAAGTGAATAATTTCAACTGAGTTGAGATTTCTTGCATCTTACTTCCCAGGCACTACAGTTCGTTTAACTGGGAAGTTTTATGGGAGTGTGAATGGTGTAGAAGTCAGTGACATCATCCTACATGTTATTGCTATCAGTACAGATGGTCGTGTGTACGCAGTGATGCGAAACCCACCGCTTGCTTTAGCGCACTTGTTGAAGATCCTTACTCCGTTAATTGATGCTGTTGGTTGGATTTATGGTGTGAGGAAAGCCAAGGGGGTCCCTAATGGATTCGGCGTCGTTGGAACCAAGATTAAAAGGAATGTAGTTGTTACTTTTGACTCTGGTATGTTTGCCTTAAAGATTCTTGTACGTTTGCCTGAAAGAGACCGCTTTAAACTTTACTCTTCTGAGACCGAAGGGCTAATTATCGTCATGAATTGCGATACATCTCTCTATTAGGTCGTGGGGAGAAACGGACATTTTGTAAGCCTATATATCCGGAAGTTTTTTACGGGATTTGAGCGAAGAATCAGCGAAATGCATCATATAAGTACGGAAAATCCACCTTAGCTCCCCTGCTCATTTTCGCAACTTCGCCTTGATTTATTTTTTTGAGAGCGCAAAACCACCGGCTGTGCAAGCCAGAAGGGTATCCAAACAGTAAAGTCCATTTCACTCTTTTCTTTCTTTCCATTTCCATCCTACCAAACTTTGTATCACGACCCTGAGGATAAGTCATGCATTGATCACTAGTATAAGTCAGTAAAGCAATAAGAGGTCGTCTCGAATCAGCGGCGAGTTGGGTAAAGCTGAATACATAATTTTATAGATATGGATGAGAGAACGAACGAAGGAAGAAATAAACTAGCTTTTCTCTATTAAAGGTGAAGAAATACGCATTTCTCAGAAGTTCATGGGTAAAAGTCCCAGTGGTCGTCTTAATACCTTGGAGACTACGATAAACGGAACAATCCCAAGCATCGACCCTTACGCTGTCGTCAGAATGGAACCTTTCAAAGTAGTGTATCGACGTGAGGACCGAGGAAAAGTGGAATCCGAAGGATCTGCTGCGTTTCGAGTTGGAGATGAAATTAATGGCTTCTCGGTCTTGCAGACTATCGAGTACGATGAGCTAAGAGGATGCGATCATGGCTTCTACAGCTTTGATGTGGAGTCTCGAGTGTTGCTGAACAAATATGACTCCAAGCAAAAGTATTCTTCTGTGGCCATCCTTTCTAATATCGTCAACGCATCTTTGCCAGACAGTAAGTTCACAAGTCAAAGGAACTCTCATGAACCGCGTTCGGTGACCATGTGACAAACCGCGACGATGTTTATCATTCATCGTTTATTGTCTTAAGTTAATGCGGGATAACCATTTGTATGCAATACGATCGATGCTGCATCATTTTCTTTTAAGAAAAGACGTCTGAATCTTTATTTCTGGCAACCATATCATGATGTATGGTTGCATAATGGCAATTTTGAAAAAAGTTGAACATGGGAACGTAGGGTCCAATTACCTTTCGATTAATTGATGGTGAATAAATTGGACAGTTTGGTGCCAAAAGTGCTACAGTCAAAAACAGATGACGATTATTCTTCGAGCGTTGAGTTTCTGTCCAAAGCTTTGTTAGATATCCTCACGAACAACAATCAGAGCATTTTTCTTCACACAGCTTCCTTCATAACTAAATGTCACATGTTGTCTTATCTCGCCAATTGCCATTGGTCTTCTGCAGTAGATGAAAAAAAACTCTTTACACCCTAACATTAGTGTGTACATTCTCCTTCTACTTTCTGTTCTCGATACATTTCTTAAGGCCCTGACAAGGAGACTTTATTGGCGATCATTTCTTTTATTCTCGGAACCTATATGTGTGATTCAGGGATAATATTTTACAAATAAATTAAATGCTAGTTACTCTTAGGGGTCTAAAGCTGGTATTCTTTTTGTTTTCTTCACAGCTCAAAGCCAACAAGGGAACGGTGATCTGTGTGGGCCCCAAAAGGAGACCTGTCACTCAAAAGCAAAATGTGTGAGTGATAATGGTGTGGAGAAGTGTCGTTGTAACGATGGTTACCAAGGTGACGGTGTCAAATGCGAAGGTTAGCGACGGTCATACTGTGATGCATAGTTACTTTCGTCAGGATTTTATCGTATTTTTTGCATCCCTGTCATTATCCCCTGATTCCTTTCTAAGATATTGAATTTATTTATCGTAAAAGAATTTCAGTGTCCTAAGTGTCATCCAGAGGCGAAGTGCGTCAAGGACGTAGCTGGTTGGCTATGCGATTGTAATCCAGGATTCCAGGGAGACGGACTTACTTGTGAACGTAAGTGTTTCAGGTTACGAGCAGTGTCTGCTATTCAGATACGTTCGTCGCGTACCGCGTAGAACTCTGGCCACCTTACTCCCAGAGTTCCGTTAACATTAATTTTTTTCCCTTCTTTTTGACCCGAGCAATAGATGAAAGAGTTCATAAGATTATCAAAGAGCTTTATATGTGATCAGGTCATTTTAATCGTGACACAACCAAACTCCTTTGACCTCCCCAGAGACTAACTGGTTCCTAATACAGGATAAAAATTACAAACACTTAGTTTCGTCTAAAATAAAGTCGGCGTTTCAAAGAGGCATGCTCCATACTCTCTCCCGTGCTATGCGCATAAAAACGAACTTGAAACTGGCTCTGATTTTAAAATTTAAATCCAAAGCTGACTGCTTTTCTCTTTCGACGAAAGCTCATAAAACTTCTAAGCTGGCTTCTTACGGCAATGAATGGTATCCATATTTTCTTACTTGTTTGCTCTATTTGTAGCTGATGGTACGTGTGAGGGAGTGACATGCAGTTCGAATGCTCAGTGCCTGTATACCGAGGACAACTCGAGGAAATGTGTCTGTGATTCAGGATACGACGGCGATGGAGAGAGCTGCTCCCGTAAGTGACCTAACATCACCTTTCTTAGTAAAACACTACATATCTTGTTTTGTTGTTGGCATTCTTTTGTTTGTTTTCGTTCCCTCCGGAAGTTTTTTTAAACCTTTACACCCTAACATCAGCATTCATATTCTCCATACCGTACTCTATACATTTCCTAAGATGCTGAAAAAGAGAATTTGTTTAACAATAAATGGCCTCTTTAGCTGATGACCATTTTCTTTACTCTCGTGACCTTAATGTGTTATTTAAAGGTAAAAGTCACTCTTACGGATTAAAGGGTCAAATGAGCGATGGAACAGTTTGGGCGTCTCGAAAAGTTTAACGTAAATTTTCAGTCAATTTTTACCATTTGCAAAGTGTGTTAATAGGCTCTGTCTTTCCCATCCATCTTCCTTAACTAAGCTTATCTTTTGGTTTTCGTTTGCCTTGGTGGTAAGCGACCTCACACACCACAACTTAGAGTGAGTTAATGTGACCCAGCTTATAATATTGACTTGAGTAGTTTTAATCTGAATACTGCTTAAAAAATACCGGCATACAGAAAAGATTTAATATTTTACTAATTTTCCAAAAGAATGAGCCTTGATTTAATAATTTTCCCATCATTTTTAACGTTTTCAGCTCGTGATAAATGTGAAAGGGTTACCTGTGGGGCCAATGCTTCTTGCGATTCCATAGGAAACTGTGCCTGTAACCGAGGTTTTCAGGGAGACGGACAAAAATGTGATGGTAAGAAATACCTCAAGGCTATGGCGAATCTTTAAAGAGAGAGGATATCTCTTTGTTAGTAATTTTGAAAGAAGCTTCGCAGATGTGGCTCCGGCGATGTCATTTTTGGGAAAATGCGTCGGGTCAACCAACCCTGACATATCCTGTTTTACTTCATTTCTCAGTGTTTGACTGTTGGTGGTTTATTAGCGCTAATGTCTCACAAGAGATTCTCATGGCACGAAATCAAGTGCTTGACCTCATCTCGATTTCTGCTCTCTTCTAAGCGAACGAACAAACGATTAACCTGGTGGAAATAATCATCCATTCCCCCTGACTTCTAATTGATGAAAATATTTACATTTTCAAGAGAAATTCAGCTTCTGTGCATGTCATTCCACGGCTGGAGGGGGCTTCTTATACCCTTGACGCTGACGAGATAATAATTACTACTTCGAACTTATCTGAAGTGATAAGGAAGGTTCTTCAATTGAATATTCTTATCTTGTAAGATAAAGACAATCTGGCTGTAGGAGAACCGCTCTTTGGCCTGGTTTGTTTCACTGAGTAATCGATCAATTACATCAAGCTGTTGAAACTTGTTTTATCTGTGATTAAAACTTGTAAGCGGCTGTTTCCTAACATAAAGCCTGATGTTAGATAACAAATTACAATTTCAACTCTGTACAGATCGTGTCGCATATGTGGTATTATGAACAGTGATTTGTTCAGATGGATGGAAAAACCTTTTTTGTCCTCTGCTTGATGTTAAAAGAACCTTTTCTTCTGGCCTGGTTCTGTGCTGCCACCGAATTAAGGAAATTCGAGAAGTCCAGACACGGCTAACTCTTTGATTTTGCTTTCAATTATGTTCAGGTCCGTTTCCCATTCATTATGGCCTATTTGTCACGAAACCAAAACTATCCCGTAGCGAACACATGTTCCTGTCACTATTGAGCCAATTCAAACCAATGGTTAATTCCCCTGCAAAATTTCTATCGCATTTCATGACACGTACAAATAATGTTGGTCTTCTAAAGCTTTTGGGACAGGTAATTCTCTAGTCTACCAGAAGATCAACAACAGTTTCTGCAGTCACTGTCGAAATGAATATTTTCCTTGAAAATTAAACACAAGGTTAAATTCATCTTTACCTTTTTCGTTGTTTTAAATTGATTCATACAGTCATTTATCTATGCAATATACAGATGTCAATGAATGTAAAGAACGTCCGAGGAAGTGCCACAATTACGCTGACTGCTCCAACACCGTGGGCTCTTATTACTGCCGATGTAAGAAAGGTTTCCGCGGGGATGGAGTTACATGCGTTAAGGGTAAGTGATCATTAGGCAAATTCCAAAGCGTCACTATGAAACTTTCAAGATCTGGTCAGTCAGGATAACAAGGTCAGACCATCTAGAACTATGCCCACATCATGAATTTCGGATGTTGGTAGCTTGTACCTCTGTCGCAGAAGGATCCCCACCACAAACGCAACTTCGAGCGCGATGCTCAGCGAGTTTGCTTAAAAATTCGACGAGTCAAAGGGCCGCCTCATATCAGCTAATTTTATTCATAATCGATGTTAGAAATATTGTAATTATTATCATTATTATTGTCATTGGTATTTACTTCTGTAATAAGTCACAAACTAGCCTTTCTTAGTTCCTGTCACACTTTGACGTTATCTCCGGATTGTTGTATAGCAGACGTACGGAGTAACAACTTTAAAATTTGACCATACATTGTGCATAACAACTGATGTTTCACAGTCTGGAATACTTGGAATACTGCCACTAGCTATAGATATAACTCTTTCACTATTGCTGTATTAAATTTTGGGGAGTAAATGGCGTCACCTTTATGTTCGTCAGATGAGTCGGGGTCACTTTGTAGTGGTCAAAAATGTCATCCGCAAGCTCGGTGCCTTGCTTTTCAAAACAAGTTGAACCAAAGATGCGTCTGTAACAATGGTTACGAAGGAGATGGTGTCACGTGCACAGGTGAGAATGCATTTCTCTCAAATCTTTTTGCTTTAAAACTTAACTGAGCCAAAGTTATAGTCACAAAAAATAAATGCCCTTCATGTCAATGACGCCTTTATGTCTCTTTTAGATATTAATGAATGTTTCGATAACGTTTGCGATCCGTTTGCTGACTGCACCAACAATGAAGGCTCTTATACGTGCAAATGTAAACAGGGATATTCAGGAAACGGGAAAGAGTGCACTAAAGGTATGCAAGCTTCTCGCTTAATACGTTGTAAAAAGGATATAGAAGGAAGATCTAGTCTGCCAAGTCTTTTGTCGAAATTAATCAACACGACCAAACAGAGGAAAGGAAATGTTATAAGGGGAATTAGACTCAGAGAACAAAGCAGTAATCTGCATTAAGCGTCGGGAAACGCGAGTGACCAAGTCACAATTTATTATTTTTTTTATATTTAAAATTTATTGGTTGAAAAAGTGGTGCACGTTTCTCTCCAATCCGATCCTGGATTGCTTCCAACACTTAATTAAATACTGGTGGAATCACTCTGAAGTAAGTTTTGCGACTCATGGTGCACGTCTTGGGATGTCTTCAAGGAAAAATACTACTAACCTTGAGGAGACTTAAGACGGATCTCCATAAGGAATAAGCCCACATATGGGTCTCGGTCACTTTTCATGATCAAAATAGTGAGGATGATAACAGCGCTAGCAATGGATACAAATTACAAAGGGAATCTTTTCCCTTTACACCCTTTTTTTTCCCTTTTATAATTCTAGCTAGTGTCTGCATGATTTGTTGTTGTTCACTGCCGTTGTTTTGTATAAATCGATTTATTTATTATGTTGGGTTCCGCTTTTTTCGTAACTGAAAACTTAGTTAAAAAAACAAACAAACAAACAAACAAACAAAAACGTAAATTT